CATTCTAGACAACAGAAATAAGCAAGTACATATATAAATGATAAAAAGAAAAGTAAACAAACTCTTCATATATGTTCTAAACTAAGCGAGCCCCAACCACAAAGAGATGGGATAGTTATGAGAAAGTTCATGTACGTTTTATATTAAGCTATAGAAATACAATACAAGCATTGCTAGAAACTATTGACTATCATAACTGACTAAAACACATTTGATTTCCTAATTGAAATCCATTATGACTTAACACACTAGTCTATAGATTTATAGATTTTGAAACATGACTAATTTTTACACATGTAAATATTTCATAATAGCACGAAGATACATAATTTTGTGATTTGTATGGTGTATCACTTAGACCCTACTTTAGTGGACCATACCATTAGACTTGTTCTTCTGTTGTCATTGTGCATGCGTGGTATCTCCCTATGTTTCTGTATACTTATAGGAGATAAATGTCTTGTTACCTGATGTAAAGTGCTGCGTTGTGTACCTGATTTTAATATACTATATTTACAACTGTCATCGTAGGAATGATAATATCCATGTGCTGTAAAGCGCCTTAGAGTAATATTTTGCAAATTATATAGAACTCTATACTAATGTTGTGTATTTATCATTTTAATAATTAGATATCAATGGTCAATAATAGTAAATTGACTCTATTCATCTTGGGGACATTTTCCTGGTCTGTCTGACGTCAGTGCCATATGTTTAGTCCAAGTAACAAAGACAGCGCACATGTATCTGTATAAGAATCTTGTCCTATTTATATGCATTTTCTCCAGGTTTAATGCTAGCAACAGAGGTGTGCTTTTCGCCATATGCGTTCCATTTCTTTTCTTTCTGTTCTTTTCTTGTCCTGTCGCAATAACATCAGCCAATGTACAATGGCCTTGCTAATCATAATATATTTTTTTGTTTTTATGTTTCACTCCATTAACGAATGCTACATATACGCAATGAGGACAACATATACGTAAACAAAATCTTACCCGTTATATGTGTATCCAGTCTTTTCTAGTCCAGCCCCGGCAATAAGGGCCACCGCTCTGGTACCTCCCACGTAAATGGTTACACTGTACTTTAGCCCCTCGCAGGGGGTAATTGCTGGCATGGAATATGTGCGCACCACCATTCTAAACACCATAGTGAGGGCATATTTTACAGAGAATTGGCTAACCATTGTAGAATATAAAAAAAGGAAAAGGTTTTTATTTGCATAGCTTACATTTTTGGAATCGATTTAATTGAATTATATTGATAAACAATTATACAAGTTGGGAATATATGAAAATAGGACATGCTATATTCTAGTTATTTTGTAACAGGAATATGAGGATTGTTTAACTTTAAATTAACTTTATGACTTAAATAAGTTAGTTTGTTATAAAGATCTATCGATGGAATTTTTGCAATTAGTGGGCGATGAAGACTGAGATCGTGACATTGGAAATAAAGACCGTGACTTACGACAGCGGTGAGGACAATAGTGTCCATTCTACCAAACAACATCCTGACTTACGTCGGCTGTTTAACTCTATGACTTACGTCATCTGTTTAACTCTATGACTTAAGTCGGCTGTTTAACTCTATGACTTACGTCGGCTGTTTAACTCTATGACTTACGTCGGCTGTTTAACTCTATGACTTACGTCGGCTGTTTAACTCTATGACTTACGTCGGCTGTTGAACTCTATGACTTACGTCGGCGATGAGGACGAGAATTGTCTTACTACAATTAATACCCTGACTTACATCGGCAGTGAAGACGAAGAGTGTGTCAATATACATTCCTTTCTCCTTCAGGGCGGCCGTCACGGTCCCTACCATGTCGTCCATGGCCGTCACCATACCTGTTTCATGATGTCACTTATCTTATTTTAAATACATTTATAATAAATAAAAGGCGATGTGGCTTGAAATCTTTTAATCGGTAAATAATCCTTTAATAATTGTTTTACTTTCGTTTATTATTTTCATTTTAAATCTGCAATTATAGGAATAAACTTCTTTCCTGTTGTCAAAGATGAACGTATCACATACACACACAGGTGATTGCATTTTGAAATTTGGTAATAGATGCAGTAAGCTAAAATTGGGTTACACTGCTTTATCATAATACCTATAGCGATGAACAATGCATTACTTAATTGAACTTGGTGTTAAGCTATACACATATATATCTCGTCCATACACACCGGAATATTTCCTTCTTCCTTCGTGCTTTATGTTGCTGTACATGTTCTCGTACTTTGTTGGCACCTGGTGAATTGACACAATGGCATACATATTTTAAGTATTCGAAGAGAAGAGATATATTCAATGTGAAAACGACATATTTCATTAAGGACAAACTATAAGTGTGTATATCAAAGTTTTCTATATCACATGAAGAGATAATATCATATATCATTGTTTTGATTTTAAACCACTGAGTATACCAATAGGCTGTACAGAAATCGTAAACTGTATACCTGCAGTGCTAAACCCATACACGTGTGTATGCCGTATTAGCACTATCAAATTTACCAATCTGAACACGACATGAGGTTGTCTTACTGCCAATAACGTAAGCTTGTCATTTACAACTATGATATGTACATTCGTCAAATTTAGTACCTCTGAGTGGATTATCGATGAAAACTAGAACTTTACTGAAGTTCAATTTGTATATATATTTTAAATAGATACTTATTTCTTATAAAAAAAATATCAATATAAAATTCAATATTTATTTTACTTAAAGTACACACATTCATTACTAAATATCTTTATGAAAAAGTGAAATGCAATGCAATATATATAAACACTATATCAGTAACTAAATGACTCAACTGTGTGATGTGTTTATGTAATATCTCTAATGGTTCATGTGATGTGTTTATGTAATAGCTCTAATGGTTCATGTGATGTGTTCATGTAATATCTCTAAAGGTTCATGTGATGTGTTTATGTAATAGCTCTAATGGTTCATGTGATGTGTTCATGTAATATCTCTAAAGGTTCATGTGATGTGTTTATGTAATA